GGACTTCTGGATTAAACTCCCCAAAAGAAAACATCCTGGCCCTAAGAGCCAGCTCAGCACTTTTTTCCTCTTCTCTGAGGCAGGCAGCTTCTAGAGTTTCTTTTTGTGCCAGTAGAACATTTACTTTTTCATCTCTGTGGCAGAAAAAAAAAGAGGTATATCTCAGTCATTTCATTGGTGGTTTAGTTTTATTGTGCAGTAAGCACCAACCAGCAGATTAAAATGTTCTTTCAGACATCTACAAAATGTTTAGAAATTGTCAAGGTAAGGCAAGTGTTTCGAGCTCCACAAAGTTGACACCAGATACTAGGTATATCTACATTGCACACTGTGGCATGGTGTACTTTAGATGTACCCACTTTCGTTCTACACCAGGTTATTCAGGTACTGAAATCAGTTTAGCTGCTGCTGCTGCTGCTATTGCAGCAAGACTGCTTCCAGCACTGCAGCATTCAGTGTGGACATAACTTAAATAAGTTAACTCTTTGGGAGGGAAGAAAGATGCCATACATTTTCTTGTATGACTTAACAATTTGATACTGGTCTGCGTAGCTAGAACGCTATTGTTTAAAATTAATTGCAATGACTGTCCCCAAGTCACTGAGCAAGTTTTACAGAACTTAGACAATGAAATGGAGGAAATGAACACAAAAGTAGGATGTTAAAGCTTTAAAAGTATTAAGCAATAAAACATAGATAGATTGTGTTTTTATGAAGACATATTAACTCAATTTAAGTGCAGTGCGAGTCAGAAGGCTTTAAATCTTATGTCATATTTGTGAAATAATATCACATTCAGTTCAGAAAGTATTATTCATGCCAAAATGCACACACATTATATACAGGTTACTTCATCTTCTTTAAAAACATTCAGCAACCTGCATTTGGAAGGATCAAATGGCTGTTTTACAACGCATCTTGCAACCCTTTGGGGCAGAAAGTGAAGAATATTCTCTAATTTAGCTGACAATGGTAATTTAAGTAAGGGAAAAGGAAACTTCCATACTGACATGTCGAGGGAGCTCTAAAATCAGCCACCTTGCCCCAGGCGGATGTTGGTGTGAAAGAGGATGAAGGCATAGCCCCACCTCCTCTCTTCTTCCTCTGTCCATTGATATATGCCCACTATCACAGGACAGGTGAAGGAATGGTAGCAGGAATAGTGCTTCCTTGTGCCCACCTGTTCAACACGCTAAGATAAGGGATTATAGATCACCTGCCAATGGGATATATAGAACAAGGGGCTACTAGCTCACTAGGCTTCCCACTATCAACCCCCAAATGACAAATGTATGTATGAAACCTGCATTTCTTATTATGTAATCAAAATACCAATGATGAAGAGGTTCTTATACATCTTCTGAACTCTCTGCTGTAAAAACCTTACATTTTTAGTTTTATAGATTTTGTTGTTTGTTTGATATCATCCCATATTTCTGCTAAGTCTTCAGTATCACGAATCAATGCAAGATTTTGTTCCTCTAGATCTGTGAAGATCTCCAGTAACTGTTTTGGATCACTGAAATATATCTCTGGTTCCTAAGACAGAGGACAGAAAGCTGTGAAGCACCTGTTGAAAAATTAGCTGCATGTGCTATGTAACTTCAAATTTGTTCCACACTTACTTTTATAGAACTTAATGTCACAAAAAAATATCATCATGGATGGGCACCCAGGAGTTAGTTAAGCATAGCCCCTTTGAACTATAAGAGCAGGGGTGGACAAAATATGGCCCATGGGCCAGATCCGGCTCACCAACTGATTGAATCTGGCTCATGGGCAGCGGCTTCAGCCGCCATATGGTACTGGGCAGCTAGGGCTGCTTCTGGTGTGCCGGGTGCTTGCTCTCTCTCTCTCTCTCTGGAATGGGGCTGCCACCGCCATGGAAGTGGAAGCATGAACCTGCCTGCAGCTGCCCACCCCCGCTCCAGACTAGACCCTGCAGCTCCCAGCTGCCCAAATGTGGCCAGCAGCTTCCAGGTTACGGCACCAGGTGCAGGGTGTGCTACAGCAGCCGCCGAGTTCAGGCTTCTGTGCTGGTTGCAGCCCACACCAGTAGCACACCCCACCTGTGCCCCCCATTCCCGGACCCCTGACCTGGAAGTTGCCAGCCGTATTTTGGCAGCTGTGGATGCACCCAACAGTTGCTGGGTCCAGACTGGGAGGGGGGAGTGGGGAGAGCAGGGCACATTAAAACTGTGGGCAGGCTCCAGCCATGGGGGGAGGGCAA